CCGTGTAATTACGGCCCCGGTAGTTGCTTGTTTAAAAGGCATGTCTGGTTACAGGAAGCATCGCTCCTGAAAGCACCAGCAGCAAAGGACAAGAGAAGAGAACCCCTTTATAAATGCTCCCCCTGCTTCTGTTTGCAAAAAACTGTTCTTTAAAGCCTCTCCTCTAAATTTCTGCTGGCTTCATTAAATTACTTTTTTCTCATAAAGTCGTTTCTATACAGAGTATCGATACTTCTCTGGTCCTAGTGAGAACCTTACCAGCTCTCACAGCTTCCCCCTGAGCTCCCTTGGTTTCACTGCAGCCCTTTAGGACGTTTCTCAGCTCTGTCTCCCCATGATTTTCCTGTGCGTGTCGATTTTCATGTCCCTGATAATGCAAACTGTGCTGGAGTTGTCATTCTTCAGTGGTACGCCCATTTCCCTTTCACACATTTCTTTATCTCTTCTTGCTCTAAGCGTGAAATCAAAGGTTAAGTCTTGTAAGGTCTTGCAAGTCCTGCTTAGGGTCCTTGTAATCTTAGTGGGGCTCTCTGGAGCTGTGGGAGCTCACATTGCACTGCAAGACAGAGACCTCAGGGTTAAAGTCATGTGCGTATCATGGGAATGAATTCGGACCCGTAACCAATGAAGCAAAGTGAATGCTTTTTCTGTCTAGATGTGGACCCCTGAATTCAATTTTCACTTTTGTCATTAGTATTGTTTCTGTGTTTCTGTCAAAGCTTATTCTCTCCTCTAAAAAGAGCTTAAATAGGTAGCCAACATTTTTTATTTCCAGTATTTTTTTATGAAAGGTATTTTAATGCTAGTGAAAAGGGGAGGAATGCCATAAAATAAGTTACTCTTTTCTTTTAAAAAATAAACAGTAAACCATTGCTCTTACACGGAAATAATGCATAAACTTGATAAATTATTATTGTCACCAAATCTGAATGTGTGTGCGTCCATTTATGTTTATAGATATGTGGAGGTAGAGACCAGCCCCCTCCTAGTGACACAGAAAACAAGCCTCCTGCTGACTTCAGCAGCAATAACTTCTCCTGGGGCAGTAAGAACTTAGTTTGCTGAAACTGTCAGGGTGGAAGTTCTGAGGATTTTTAGATTAGTCAGCATACATTTTTAAAAAGTAGTCCTTAAAAAATTTAGTTTGGATTTGCATTGTATTACATCTGTCTGTTTCACCCCCCATAATTCTCAGAAATGTTGTGTGGTAATAACAGCAGACCATATTCTAGGATATTTATTTCATATTTTGATACCAGTTTCTTGTGGGTTCAGAGGAATGTCGGTTACCAGTGAGAAAAAAATGCTTTCCTGTCTCATATCAAGTGGTTAAAATAAATGACCAGGAGTACTATGGGGTATATCTGAAAGGGTTGTATTTTTTTCCATGTAACAGGATTAATTTATACCTGTCATTTCTAGCTTTGAAAATCAAGATCAAAACTATAAACACAGAAATATTTCAGTCATCTCTGAAAGTAGTTCTTTACAGAACTGTTGGAAAAACCATTAAGAGTTTAACAGTTTTTTAGTTTACTAGCATTTTTGTGAGTTTTAAAGAAATAGTTGTTGCCCATACGACATTGTTAGAGCTTGAATAATGTAGATCATATTTTAAAATGTATGAAAAGTGTTCTGAGGTTTGCATGCTCTTTCAGTTAAAAGGTGCCTATATAAATATATAAACCACACTTTCAATATTACATTAAATCTTGTTAATATTTCTTTTCATTTACTAAATATGAAGAATTGTGGAACTTAAGGATGAGTTAGATAAACGTAAGACTTTGGTTTGCTTTTCTACCTGCATAGAAGGTGATGTTGAGCTTTTTTTTTAAGCGAAATGTGCTAGGAACGTCGTGTGGTGTGCAAATTAGGTATAAGTGTCTGCCTTTCCCTACCCTTCCCCTAACTGGGTATCTCTGTTCTCTGTATTTCAGATCTACAGTGGTTAAACACTGAAGGTCCTATTTCTCTTCACAAAGACCTTTGTGGAAAAGTCGTGGTGTTGGATTTCTTTACTTACTGCTGCATCAATTGCTTGCACCTGCTGCCTGATCTCCATGCATTAGAGCACCAGTACTCTGATAAAGGTAAAAGTGCTTTGGCTTGCTTGGAATAGAATTTCCTGGCAGTGTTGCAGGCGGAGTAGCTGAGTCACTTTGTTGCTGGTTACTAAACAGCTGGCAAAATTTCAGGGGTGCCTAAAAATGTCATCTTATCTTTTAAGTAGCCTAAAAAAGGTGACTGTGTATACTCTCATCACATTTTTAATTGGGGTTAAGTAAGGTAGCTGTTGTGTCTGTATAATTAAAGAAACAGGATATATGCTTAAAGCCCAAATCTGATATCCTCATAAATAAGGCTATTTGCAAAAAGCTATGCAAAGGTATAAGACACAGGCTCAAAGTTAATCTATGTATGTAACCCTCTACACTTGAGTTAGGAATCAGTTATGAACAGAACATAGTAAAGGTGGTGGAATGGATATAGTTAAGATTACTTGCTTTTTCCATTCCAACGGAAGTAACAAAACATGTAAGCTTGGTTTAAATTTTTTTTGGTATTGGCATCACCTTATATACCATTAATAGTCCTGTATTCTGGAGAGGGAATTAAGCTCTTCAGATTTCATCTCAGATGTGAATTTATATCTTTCTCTGAGTGACTAAAAATGCAGGGTAATTACTATTTAGAATGCAGTCTCTTGTCATCATGATGACTTGGCAGAGATAAGCTGTGGTTTTACACAGAATGTATCAGCTACTCACTTGGATAATTTTGACTGAATAGTGAGATGAAGAACAGTGTTACCTTCAGCCCTAAAAATATTATATTAAACATAATATATAGATGCATGAAATAAAAATAATGTTATCTTATGATGTTTAAGTCTCTGATTCTCCATTGGCGTTTCTGATTGATTTTAATTTTGGCAGCGTTTATGTTCATGTGTTACCTACTTTCACTAGAGAAATTACAGTCTCTTTGAAATTTCAAGTTCTTTAAGTAGTTCACTTGTAGGTTTACGTAGCGCTTTACAGAAGACTCAAATAAACTAGTTTTTCTGTCTTGAAAAGCTTAGCTGTTTGCTTTGAAGACATTTGAGATCAGGTATAATGTTTTAGATATAAGGAATTTTATCTAATAAGGAAAAACTGTCATGGCATTTTTTTGAGAGGGAGGCAGTTTTAAGTGGAAGGTGATTAGCAAACGATAAATGGACTGCTGTGGATATCAGGCATGCTGTGAAGAAGGTCTGGATTGAGATTTCAGAAGATTACATTGATCGTATAATATCTTTAAATGATAAACATTTTGTAGTATGGTTTTATTGCATTAATGTAGCTGTCATATCCTTAATCTAATCTGTTTTTTAAGACCAAGCTGTTAAATCACTTCATAACAAAAAAATTAATTTTAACAACCTCTCTCCATAAGCTTTCTCTTTAAAGAATTTGAACGTGTCTATATTGGTGTAGAAGGGGCTGCAGCACTCTGAACTGGAGGTCCACTTGGAGACACTTTTCTTTCTTTGACTTGTATTAAGCTTAACTGCCATAGCAGTTATTACTTGAGGAAAGTACTATGCTGATAGGCGATAAATTCTTTTTGCATTTGAGCTATCCTAATAAGTTCTTTTTAGATTTGAGCTGTCCTGTTCCTACCAGAAGCAGAGTTAGAAAAAAGGTGCTTGGGATGAAAGTGGAAAAACAAGTGGAGGTAAAAGGAAAGAAGAGCAGGTGTGTGTAACATTAATCTTAAATTTAATGTGTTAGGAAACAGAGGAGAGCAGTTGGATTCAGGAAGAGATTAAGGTGCTTCGTGGTTCAAACAAAAAGAAAAATACATTTGTTTTTTTCACTGTAGATCTCTTCTGTTGTTTTCATGTTTTGATTGTCAACCTTTTCAGGATTATTTACTCTTTCTTTGCTGTGCTGAGTGTGTAAATTTTAGCATTACAGTAGTATAAAACTATATATTGAAATAAGTATGTATAAATATATCAAGGCAGTAAGGGTTGTGGGGTTTTAACCATAGAATAATATGTCAGTAGTGGGTTTATATCAATGTACATCTTCACCAAAGGCAAACATAATTTACGAATCACTAGGAGAGAGAAGAGAGTTGTTGACTTGAGAAAACTGAGAAAGGTAAATGTTGGAAGAACAAGACTAAATTAGAAAGCATGTCAGACATACAAAAATGCTTTAAGAATATCTTGATATATTAATGCAGGTATCTTTGTATTCGGCCTTATTCTGGGGTTTCATTCTATTTCCGTCTACTCTCTTCTTTAGTTAATGGAAATCCCTTCTCCCTTCAGGGGATGGAGGACAGGTTCACTTTTGGTTGGGTTGGTTCCAAAATCTATCATCTTGTTATTGCGAAAACTGATTTTGGCGCAAAAGATGAGCAACGCAATTTCTTTTGGTAGCAGCAAGTCAGATTAAATATATAGTGAAACTGCAGCTTTGCTAAACTTTAGATCAAGATGGCATTTATTTGCACATTTCATGTATATATTTGTCATGCTATAGAAGTGGCAGAGGGTGCTGACCAGCAAGCAATATTAGTCAGAATGAAATCAACACCTTACTCTGACAAAGCATCTATCTCATAATGCATTTGGATCTTTAATCTATTGTTTGAATATTTGAAGGAATGTTGCCTATATTTTTCTGCGTAACTAAGAACAAGCCTCATTATTGTTATAATTCACAGCAGTGTCTTTTTTTGATTGCACATTGTGTACGTGTATTTTTGATACTCTGATTTTTTTTTTTTAATGTGGTTCAAATGCCCGCTTACATGGGGTATGGTGAAAGTTCAGCAGTGTGATCGTCAGACATGAGAAGTCTGAACACAAGAAGCTGTAGTTTTAGGGTGATCCTAAACCATTATATATATTGTTGTACATATGTACATAGTTCTATTGTCTGGAACTTCAGGAGATCTGTTTCAAAATGAAGACTGCTTTCCATAGGATTAAATGTCACCTAGCATCTTTATCTGATATGTCCTCGCTGCTATCTTCAGTGGTGCTATTTCTGTTTTTCAAGTGGCATTCAGAAAGTTATTTTAAACCCCAGTGCATATTCAGTTCATGTTATCAGCAGTCCAGAAATGACTTCTATAAGAGGGAGTACTTTTTAATATTCAGAAATAGCTTGGCATAAGTCCACTGTTGTGCTCTGGTACAATCCTTCAAATAAAATGTTTTAAATGGTGTGCATATTCTTATATCTCAGCATAGCATCCATTGGTTTCCACAAGAGTTTTCTTCATGAGAGGATGTTATAACTTATCTGTGCTGTTCAGGTGTTTAGTACAGAATTGTCTTTCTAGCTTTAATGATATTTTTGAAGGACAAATACAAGAGCTGCGACTGATCCTATTACGGTTAAAATGTTTAACCTGCTGTTCGGCGTTCCGCAGTTAATGATACTACAACTTCATCTGTCTGATATTGCAACATGCTGTGCCTATAGGATTGATAAAGACTGTATCAGTTATAGTGATTTTTTTTTTAATTCTGAATCTGTGAAATTGTTATATTCAACTAAGTCTTTTATTGTGCAGCACTTCGCCCTTTCCTGTTGTCACATTGAAATATTACCATTCCTGCAGATGCTGTTCTTCTCCATTAACACTGTTTTACGGTTGAGGAGAAGGGCTAAAAGAGAAAAACAGTTTTGCATTTCTCTGTAACTGAACAAAAAGCCAACCTGAGATTAAATTAGGGTTTTTTTTTAGAAGGAAACAAACTTGTCTGAGCTCAAGTAATACAACTAATTAGGACCTGAAATAATTGCCTTGCTTGCATTTCTACCACAAAACCAGAGGTGAGAGTAGAACAAAGATGTCCAGCTAGCCAGATTGCACCTCTACCATAGAGGCAGGAGAAAACCACAAAAGTAAATACTGCATTCCATTCCAAACCATGTCCTTGGGTACAGTTGCTTACAGTTGTTACTTTTTAGGCGCTGGTTCAGGCCCTCCCTGATCAGAGGACTGGTTTCACTGTTCTGGCAATGGCAAACTCCACTGACTGTAACTGCAGGGCTTTTGGAGGACTGTTTTACGAAAGCATTTTATTTTGACGTATTTGCTTGAAGTTTTACAAATAGTGAAGCCCTTTAATGCACTAGGTAGTGAATGCCAAATAACAGTAATGATCCAATATGTAAATTTCCAGTTTAGAATGAATTGTTGTGTGACACATAACAGTTGATGCTAAATGAAATAAAATGTATAAGATAGGTGAGGTATTGTGGAAAAAAGTACACTTCTTGTGGATTAAAAATTAAAATGCCAGAATGCTAAATAAATAAAATTATCTTCTTTGATAAGGAGAAAAGTGCATTATGCAAGCTGCAAAAAGTTATTTTATGTGTGGTTTTCCTTCTCAGAGAGCTAATTCTGGATTTTGCTAATTGCAATTGCAGCTGGAAGAATGAAGAGAGAAGAAGTGGGGGAAAGAGGGGCACTGTTCTAGCAACTATGAGAAGCTAGAAGATGAGAAATAAATTAGTTAGCAAGGTGATTGAAAATATATAGGTTATGTTCTGATTAGATTCGTAATAAACTGATGAAGTCTTTTCCTGTTGTAACAAATGGTTATATTTGAATGAGGAAAAACATTGTCTTCTAAAAATTAAGTATCTAGTACTACAAGTAAGTGAAACAGTTCGTACTCTCAAGTCTTCTTAAAACTTTGCTGAGAAAACATTTATTTAAAAAATTGTCTTTTTTAGATGAGTGTCCTTTCAGGAGGGCTATTTCCATTGGCTGTTGTTTAGGATAAAGCACCTAGATGTTTAGAGCTTACTCTAAATAACAGAACACCAAATAACAGAACTTGCTTACTTAGAGTTTCACATTGCACATCTGCCTGTATCCTTTATAACTAAGTTGTATCCTGCTTATCTAGATTTAATAGCTGTTCAACCAAACCTATTTTGTCTGTAGTAGCACAGTACAATATTTCAATTGCAGTGAGTATTTGTACGAGCACAAATTAGTCTGATTTAAGAACCTATGAAGTTCTTCAAGGATCTACACTTGTTCTATTTCAGAGTGTAAGCATCATTAGAATTGGATTAGATTGGATAATGGCTGTTCTTCGTCCATGCCACCTTGTACAGACTCCAAATCTTCTTTGCTTTTTGGTATTACTTGTGGTGTTGAAAAAATACAAGGAATCCATCTATAGACATTGGTGACTGGGGGAAGGAAGGAAATGCCACAGATATTGGAATGCTACTGATAAAAGGGTTTATAAATGCTAAATGTTTTTATAGGCCTGATGGGGGGGCAGGGAAAGTCCTTTATTTATTGTCAAAATAATTTCTAATACTGCGGTAAAATTAACTCAGGTTGGGTGTCAATGCTAAGGATATTTTCCTTTCCCATTTAATGTCACTCCTCAACACAAAAGATCAGGTGAAAATTTAAAACTTCTACTTGGACAAATAAGTAGAAAGGTCCCAATTGTTATTTGTGGTTACAAAATGCTTGCGCTATCCAGAGACATGAGTGATTTTTGGATAAGTAATAAGGTTAATGTCTAAAGATTTCCATCAGATTAACAGTTCTGGTTTAAAATTATTGTATTGCAGCTTTCTACAACTGCGTGGTTACTGTTGTTATCTTCCTTTAGTTAGAATTGACAAGTTACTTTGACTATTACAAGATTATGCTTATGGCTAGTAGTATTTATTAAGTACAAAGTGAGGCTAAGTATGGTATTGATGTCACGTGCACAGTTTACTTAATTTGGTAGAGATTATACTAGTAAAACATAATTTAAAGCCCTGAAAAAGGATGTAGGCTTCGTTTTGTCTCCCCGCCCCCCCTTGGTTTTGCTCCTAGAAAGTACTGAAAGTGGCTTGAAAAGAAGGCTCTTCATTCTTTTTCTGTTGTGTAGGAAGGGGGAGTGGAAAATTTGGGCCTGCTTACATAATTGTCTACTTGGAGTGGAGCAGATTTATTTCTTACCACAAGGGAAAACCTGCTGAAGTCTGAGCCATAGATTTTTATTTCTGTGTTTGGATTTCATAAAACTAAGAAAATAAGCAAGCAATTCAAGGAAGCTCATAATTGTGTGCTTTTGATTGATTTTAGGGTTGGTATTATGTATGCAGTGCATATAAGCAGAATTTTATTACTTTATGCTTATGCAACACCTTCCTACTAGGATTTCAAGTGCAGTTATGCCTGCTATGGGAAAACCTAAACTCTCCGTTGTCTTTATTAACCAAATACAGAAATTAAGTTAAACATTTTAAGGGGAGGGGCAAAAATCAATTATTTAATCCTCTTTTCCCTTTTTTTTTTGCCTTTTTTTTTTTGCTTTCTTCTTTTTCTTCCCCCCCCCCCCCCCTTTTTTTTTTTTTTTAAAAAGAAAAAAAGGTTCAAGCCTGCCTGGTTTGTAACAAGTGGTATTTGTCATTTTGTCATAGTTGTCAGTGCTGCACTTTTTATTTGAAATATAGAATACTGTATTGATTTCAGAAGCCTATACATTATTTTTTTACTGTTTATCTAGGGTTAGATATGCCAAGGTGACTCTTTGACTTCCAGAGTTCGGTATTACATTTGTGATTCCTAGTTAACTGTGGAAGAGAATTAATTTTCTAAAACACCATTGTTGTGTATAGGAATCAAAAGACAAAGAGGCATCATAAACATCTGAAAAAAACCAAAGTATCCATTAAGCTGCTACAGCTTACCCATAATTATTTTGAAAGTATTTTCTACCTTAGTATAGAGGTTCAGGAACTAAGAACAATTTATGACATATTAAATGTCAACCAGCTGGGGAAGTAATGGTCCTAAAGTTCAGTAATTTTACTGAAATGTTATTTCTGAGTTTCAGTATTTTGTATATGTAGCTATCTATATTCCTACTGAGATGTAATTGCTTTTTGTTTGTTCAAATCCTCTTTCATTCTGGAAAGCGGTCAAGTCACATTGTGAGATAACTGTCCTTCATTTTTACCTTTTTTTTTTATTCAAATATAAATATGTTTCAATGCACGAATTTATTTTTCCTTTCAGATGGTCTTATTATTGTTGGTGTCCATTCAGCGAAATTCCCAAATGAAAAAGTTCTGGATAACATTAAAAGTGCCATTCTGAGGTATAATATTGTCCACCCTGTAGTAAATGATGCAGACGCAACACTGTGGCATGAACTAGAAGTGTCCTGCTGGCCGACTCTGGTCATTCTCGGGCCTCGTGGAAATATGCTGTTTTCTCTTGTTGGAGAGGGACACAGAGAGAAGTTGTTTTTATTTACTTCTGTAACACTGAAATTCTACAAGGAGAGAGGACAAATCAAAGATAACAACATTGGAAGAAAGCTGTACAGAGACTCCCTCCCACCTTCTCCCCTGCTGTTTCCTGGCAAAGTGACCGTAGATAATTCGGGAGAAAGGCTGGTAATAGCAGACACTGGACATCATAGGATTTTGGTTACTCAAAAAAATGGACAAATTCTACACACTATTGGAGGTAAGGGTGTATAAGTTTATTATAGTAATTTTAGTTTAGGAGTAGAGTATGTTTGCTGGGCATACTAAGCCGATCCTTTTCTTAGAGGACCTAGCAGTTTATAAACACTGCCAGAATTTTTTTTTTCTACTAAAATCACTCTTACTGCTTATGGGGGGATATAGCATAGTACCATCAGTGGGAGATGCTGTTAATGCAACTGTTTGAGATGTCTAATTTTTTTTTTTCCTTTGGTCCATTGACATACAAAAAACACATTTTGTATTCTTCTGAAAGAGTTACAGATGGGTTTAGATTGAAGTGACGTACATCCACATCCAACAGCAAGGTAGGGAAAAGAAAAGAGGCAATAATGCCTTCCTTTCCAGTAGAAGAAATGAATGTTGACTTGTGGTGGTGGTGCTATGTGTGGAGGAGTTTGGGATGTGGTTTTTCTTTGGTGGTGGTGGTTTTTTAAATCAAGGGCATTCCCCTATAGGATCCCCTTCTGGTTTTTACAGGAGGGGAGAACTATTAAGAACAGTGGCATTGCACTAATACATAGGCACCAGAAAATGAAGTTGCCTTAGTATGTGTGAAAAGGCCTGCATTCTCACCAAAATTGGGGTGTAACATATAAACAAGTTATGAAAATAGTAAAAGTTAAGTATTTTAAATTTAGTTACATTTATTATCAAGTTTATATTAGTAACATTTCAGCTTTAAAAAAATAATCTCTTTTAACTGCTTTTGTAAAATTACTACTT